ACCGATGCCAGGATGGAATGAAGGGTTCCTACAGGTTCCCACAGAGGATCTGTGGCCGGGCCCATGGGGGTGCAGGCGGGAGGGGTCCAGGGCCGCTCCCCACAGCGCCTCCTGGGCGGCTGAGGGCTCGCTCTGGTTGACCACGTAACGCAACGTCCACATCAAGACAACACTGAACACGAAGCACAATAACTAGCAGGGAAAACAGGTGCAAGTAACGTGTCCCAGACACATCGGGACAGGTGGCCACCCTCGCTGAACCCGCGATGAAAGCAATTCCCTAGAGACTGACGAGTAGGTCCAGGGACACAGCATCCTGCTGGGGGATGTGCCTGCTCCTTTCCAATCCGAGTCCAGATCCAGGCAACCCAGGGCCTCTGTGGCACACGGAGCTCCGTTTCCCAGGGCTTCCTACGCGCCCGGGGCCAGTGGCGAGAGCAGCTGGCAAACTGTGTCTGTCTGAGGCCAGACCCATCCCGCCGTCTGTCTTCGTTCAGCCTGGGAGCTAAGAATGGCCCTTACATTTAGTTGAAAATAGTCAAAAGGAAGAGACTGCTTTCATGACACGTGGAAACTACGTGAAACAAAATTCTCAGGGCCACAGACAAAGTTCGACTGGAACAAGGCCACGCCCGCTCGCCTCCGCCTTTTCTGCGGCTGTTCACTGCTCACCTCCTACAAAGGTGGGGCTGGGCCCCGCGACGGAGGCCACATGGCCCTCGGGGAAGCCAGATGCAAACTGACCCGCCGAGTGGTCCCATGTCCGTGACCTTCTGGAAAGGGCACAGCTACGGGCAGAGATCAGTGGTCCCCAGAGGCAAAGGACAGCGACATCTGACTCCAGGGGGGCAGCTGCAAACATCTCTGACTTGTGTCCCGTCGCCACTGTGAACACCCACAGACCCATACACCAAATGGCGTGAATTTAACTGCGTAATTAAGGGGAAAACTGACCGGCTGGTTCCAAACCCCACAGCTGTGCAGACCCAGCAGGACACGGTTCTCTTTCCAGGTCTGTCGTCTTCCAGCTGCGAGGCCCAGTCTCCGCTCAGCTCTCTCGGCACAGCGGCTAATTGTGTTCGGTTGGATGACACGCATCTGCCTCGTGTGGACGTCAGCCAAGGCCTCTCTCGGCTCCTCCGCGTGCCCGACCCTCACCGCCCGCACGAGCCTCCCCGTGGCCCCCGCGTCCTCACCGGCGCCGGCACCAGCGTCTTTGAGCAGAGTTCCCTTCGCGGGGCTCGCTCTCTTTCCTCCGCATTGCCCCTGCTCCCCCTGCGCACCCTCCCAGGCCCAGAGGGACCTCGCTGTCATCCGTCACTCAGCCTTCCTCCCACCCAATCTGTCCCCATGCCTGGGACTATGCCTGGGACTTCTACCCCTGGACGCCTCCTACTATTTCCTCCTCACTCCCCGGCCGCCATCGTCAACCCACCTATCTGAGGGCCGAACAGTCGTCCACGAGCATCTCACCCCCAGCTCTGTGTGTCCACCAACTAACTAGATCAGCCATCGGCCCTGAGAGCCACTGGTGGGCGACCGTTCAGAGCCGTCCTGCTGCGGAGCCGGAGCCCTGCTCAGGGAACCACGTCCGGCCACTTCGACAGCATCTCAGGGACTCCCCCGGCCCCCCGTCTCCTACAGATGTTGAAGTAAAGGTCACATCCTTTGCTCTCCGAGAGCGAGAGCCTGAGTAGTTTCCCCTTCCAGCTCAAGCTTCCGAGGCTCGGACAACTCCAATTCATCTTTTTTTAAATATGGTTTCATTGATTTCAGAGAAAGGAAGGGAGAGGGGGAGAGACAGAAACTTCAAAGAGAGAGAAACACCCACTGGCTGCCTCCTGCATTGAGCCCCAAACCCGGGCATGTGCCCTGACCGGGAATGGAACCGGCGGCCTCTCCACGCAGGTGACGAACCAGCCGATCCCCGCCCGCCAGGCTCTGCCTCATCTCTGGTGCCCTCGCGACCCCTACAATCAAGCCCACCCTGTATTTATTTAGTTCGTCTTTCCTGGTAACCCAGGGCTCACTCGAGAGCATGGAGCCTGTCTCCACAGCCCCACACTTACCAAAGCGACTGGCCCATCAGACTTGCTCAATAAAGGTTTTAAATTTAAATAAAGCATCAGGGGGCTCAGCGATCATCCGTTTGAGGAGGATCTGTGAGGTGTTTGGTCCCTACGACGACTAGATTTAGCTAATTTGCATTTTGTGTCTCTTTTCTGCAATAAGACTGGAGACCTCATGAGTCTGGAGACCCCATGAGTCTGGGTCATGTCCCCTTTGTGTCCACCTAGAGCTTAATATCTACAAATACCTGTAAATATTGGGAGATAAAGTTGGCCCGAACAGACACGGATTTGGGCTGTAAGGAAACGTGGGAGATTGAGCCCCAGCTCTGTGGGTGCTGGAGTCTGAGCAGAGGGGAGGAGCAAGGCCGACGTGCCCGAGACGCCGGCGACAGAGTCAGGGCGCTTTCTCTCATCAGGAAGCCAGGCGCTTCCTGGAGGCTGCCAGGAGGAACTATTTGGATTTCTGGATTCCAGTTTTCCTAAAGAGATGCCAAATGAGCCTGCACTTCCCGCACACAGACCTCAAGCAGGGCAAGACGACCTCGGGAACGCCATCTGTTTCCAGTTTACACCAGTCAGTCCCTTCAGGAAACCTAGAAACTCGTCTCATGCGGTTGCTTTGCCCCCACAGCGGCCTGCTGAGGGCCAGCGAGTCGTCCTTCAGACCTTCACTGGCTCCCTCATGAAAGGCGCTGTTGTCCAAATAATCGTCTGTCTTGTCCACAAGCATCTGAAATCCATCCGCAGTGCACACGGCTGAATCGGAAAACCCACCGGGAAGAGAGGGTGGTTCCAGCGGAGAGACCATGTACCGGGTTCTGCAGTTCCTACTACACGGATCCTGTTGAAACCTGTAAGCTGGCACTTCCCGGAGCCCCCTCCTTCCCAGTGCGGTTCCCGATGGAACCTAGCGGGTGAAATCTCTCACGGTACGCAGGAAAGGGCTGGCACACAGTAGGCCCTCGGGAACCCAGCTCGCTTCCAAAATGAGCGCCAGGCACGCCCGGTGCACCATCCCGGGGACACAGCGCAGAGCATCGCCCCACAGAGCGGCAAGCGATGTGCAGACGGGCAGGGGGCAAAAGACACGCACAGGCCCCTAACATTAGTTACACTCACAGCCTCTGAGAGGTGGGGGGACGGGCACCTTATTTAAGGGAACCCCCCCCACACACACACACCTGGACCGTAAAAGGTTGTAATGGGAAAACAAACTGGAAGGGACTTTTCACGAACTAGTTGTTTACTGGACAAAATGGAACTAAATACAGATATTTAAGGAACATTTTCAGCATGTGCAATGAAAATACACTTAATAATTTGGAAAGGTAGTTATTCTAAAATTTTTGAACTTGATAATCAAGCCCTGGCAGGTGTGGCCCAGTTGGCTGAGCACCAGCCCCTTGCGCCAAAAGGTCGCCGGTTCGATGCCTGGTCAGGGCCCAGGCCTGGCTGCAGGCTCGGTCCCCAGGAGGGTGTGTGCAGGAGGCAGCTGGGCCATGTTTCTCTCTCCCCCTCCCTTCCTCTCTCTCTAGAGATCAATAAAAAGTCACAATCAAGATACTGGGACTACAGGAATGTGAAGGAAATGACGCCTCTGTGGCCTCCGGGCCGGCACGTCAGTGCTGCTGAGCCGTGGACAGGGCTCAGCGGGGGACTGCGTCAGCGGTCAGCCCAGCCCCCACCCTCGCCCCAGGGAACTGCCATCAGTTACTTCACCAAATCAAATAACTTAGGTGATGGTATATTCTATTTCATAAAATACTGTCCTCTGAGATTTTGAAATTAAAGTCCTGAGGTATAATTTACAGGAAAGAGAATTTTTAAAGAAGATGTACTATACCCTGGAGAAGCTTATTCTTTGCTCTGTCACGGAAGGACTTGGGCAGACAATCCGCAGAAGAAAAATAGAAAACAAGTGATGTTAGCGCGTCGCCTGCAAATCAGATCACCCTGAAACTGACAAACAAGAGGCGCCTCGTCGAATGCAGAATTATGAAACGATGCACAGTGAAGTATGTGCTTCGCAGAGCTATTTTTATTTTTAAGAACAGAACTGCAAATTGGACAAAAGTAAGGGGGAGGGGGAGAAGTAGTCCTGAGAAAGACATCATCGCTGTGAAAATCACAGGATTTCAGGTGCAACTTGAAGGACATTTTCCAACATCCGCAAAATAGGATCACAGCAGTATAATGGATGCCCATTACGGGGGGCTCAATTAAGGAGGTGCTCCCCACGGAAGGAGAAATTACAGAGTATTTTTAGGGAGCTGCGTGCAGCAGAACACAGCAGATTTACCCGGTCCCCGGCGACCCCCCCCCAATGCTGCCCTCCCGGAGACTGAGGGTCGAGCTCAGCCCCAGCTCTGCACAGGCCTCTGCCCAGCAGCCGCCCACCGCGCCGGGCGAGGCCTCCCTCACGGAGAAGCCGCCGGGTGCAGCAAGGCCGACGGGACTGTCCCGACCGGAGGCTGCGGGAACCTAACCGGGCCTGTGTCCCCGGAGTGAGGCCACAGAGCACAGCTCCTGTGACATGGAAACGGATGCACCTGGGGCCGCCTGGGACCAGCGCCGTGACGCCGAGCAGGCGCCTGCTCCAGCGGGGCCCCGACTTAGCTTCACCAACTCATTTTCCCCTGAAGCACATTTTAGGTTCATCTCCACGGGTCAAGGAAGCGTCGCTAAGCGTCGCACAGCCCGGAGTGGGATGGGCAGAGGGGACAGCGAGAGGGGACGCTACTCGGTGACCACACTTCACTGCCCTCTGCCCGCAGAAAAGGCCCTCGGAGCCCCCGCCTGCAGTCCGAGCCTCCCCTGATCACATCGCACCCACCTACGCCCGAGATCAGTGACGCCACTCGTTGCTTCGGCAGCCCACCCGACCCCACGGACGAGACGCCCGACGCAGACGCGTGACCCAGAACTTACAGGCAAACTGGAGTCGGGCTTCTCTGCTGACGACGGTTCCCACCGAGTTTGTTGCGAAACACTGGTAACTCCCGGCGTCCCGGTCCCTGTCGGGGTTGACGACCACGAGGTCTCCGCCGTGCAGCTCGTAACGATGCTCCAGGCCCAGGTCAACGTCACTCCCGTTCAGCTGCCATCTGGAGGAAACGCAAGGATGTTCCCTCTTAGGGTGTTTATTTAAATCAGCATTATTGCCCACTCCGAACACCATCTCTCCTAGAAACCAGAGGCAATGAAGACACTGCGCCAAGGCTCTCAGCTGAAGGGCAAACACGCCCACGTTACGAGTCAGCAGCCACAGGTCAACATACAGTGGAAACCACAGCAGTGCGGCATCTGGAGTTAGATGCCCCAGGATCTCCCGGGGACGGGGGGACGGCTCGGCGTGTTCAGGAGACATCGGGCAGGGATGGGGGGACGGCTCGGCGTGTCCGGGGGACATCGGGCAGGGACGGGGGGACGGCTCAGAGTGTCTGGGGGACATCGGGCAGGGATGGGGGGATGGCTCGNCCACATATGCGCGAAACCGCAGGGCGCTTGTTTTTCCCTGACCGGCTTGTTTCGCTCAGGGCCACACCCGCAGGTCACCCCGTCGCAGAGGCTGAGGCGCCGACCCTCCCCGGCAGAGCGCGCCCCACGGCGCGCGTGCCCCCGCCTCCTGGACGACCCGCTCTAACAGCAACGCCACACTGCACCCCCGCTGTGGCCTGGCCTAAGGGGACAACCATCTCCAAGGCTCTTTACGGTACTTCTGAGAAAATGGGCGACACAAAGGCCATTTCTGAGGCGACTCGGCCACGGTCCCAGGGTATCAAGTGGCACCCACAGAAGCGACGCCCATTTTAATTCTCGCCGAGTTCTGCACTCGTGTCACGGGCCATCTGAAGCTGCCTCGTTAACATATGAACATTTCACTTGGACATATTACGTCCTGTGGAAACATACAGAGGTGAGACGTGGACATTAACCCAAGCGGACCTGCAGAAGTTAAGTGGGGGGTTCAGCTCTAGAGTTNGGACATCGGGCAGGGACGGGGGGACGGCTCGGCGTGTCCGGGGGACATCGGGCAGGGACGGGGGACGGCTTGGCGTGTCCGGGGGACATCGGGCTCGGCCTGTGTGGGCAGAGAGGTGGAACGCTGAGGCCATTACCGGGCTCGCAGCAGCGGATCCCCTGCTGGCCAGGATCAGGACGAGCACATTTCTCTGATTTATCCAGACCGACTGGGCACATTTAACACATTAATGGTGAGAGCTCAGCTCTCCATTCCCGTCTGTCTGGGTAAATGCCCATCCCCGAGGCACCTCCGCTCTTCTGAGCCATCAGGGTGCAGTTTACGAAACAGCACTCGGTGGTAAGAGACCCGGAGGGGGTCGGAGCAGAGAAGGTAGGAACCCCAGGGCCATATTTACCGACCGGAAGCCCAACCGAAACACAAGNCCGGAAGGGGAATGACGCGTAATTACTTTCATTTACTGCCCTAGGCATTTATCTACCAGGCTGGTTATTACCGCACAGGGCAACCTCTTGCCTAAAACCCCCGAGGACAGAATAACAGTAATAAATAGCGACAGGTCTTGTCTGCAGTGCAGTTTAGGGCCCCAGGTCCTAGGCCCTGTCNGAAAGGAAGAAGCCGGTTGGTCAGCAAGGGCCTTCCAGGGGGAGGCCCGGAGCGTCAGCAGGGAGCACACCTGACGCGTCAAGGTAAACGGCACCTGTAATTACTTGTTATTTATTTTATTCTTCCACCATTTACCCCCTCGAGGCCCNTTAGGATGTTTGTGGCCTGACTCAGCCACACGTTAGTTCACAGCTGCGGAGGCGGAAAGGTTCCCTTTCAGACGTCCTCCCGCCACGGCCGGGAGCAGACTCTCCGCAGCGGGCGCACTGGAGGCGCCGCGAAGACCCACCGTCTCCTTGCAGCAGAGCCACAGGGTTGTGTCCCCCCTTCCAGCGCGAGTCCTCCGGCGGAGCCGTCCCCAGGGGGCTGGCGGATTCTCAATCTCNCAGGATGTTTGTGGCCTGACTCAGCCACACAGTTCACGGCTGCGGAGGCGGAAAGGTTCCCTTTCAGACGTCCTCCCGCCACGGCCGGGAGCAGACTCTCCGCAGCGGGCGCACTGGAGGCGCCGCGAAGACCCACCGTCTCCTTGCAGCAGAGCCACAGGGTTGTGTCCCCCCTTCCAGCGCGAGTCCTCCGGCGGAGCCGTCCCCAGGGGGCTGGCGGATTCTCAATCTCGTGTTAAATATCGATCGTTTTTCCTCCTGCTGAGAAGATGTGAATTCAGGAGTGGGCTTTGCTTAAACTGAGATGCGTAAGGACCCTCCAGGCCGGGGCGTATCCTGAGAAAATATTTCCAGGTCCCTCCTGCAAGGGGGTCCCATTTCCGCCGGATCTGTAAACGTTTCTGGGGTTTTGAACTTTGAATGTAAAGCATTAAGTGCCTCACTTAGGAGACACTTAAACTGGTGGAAATGGCTCCTGAACGGGGCCAAGCCTATCGCCGCGCCCGAGACATGAAGTCAAACGCCGAAGGTGGGGAGCCCGGGTCACTGCCTTCCGAGCACAAACTGATATGACGAGCTAAGCACGTGTGAGAGCCCGGATTCCCGGCGGGAGGGTGCATCTCGAAGCAGAGCCCGTCCCCGAATGCGGCTGTGGCATCCGCTGATCCCAGCCTGAAGCCCTGAGAGGCGGGCGCGGCCCACAGGTGCCTCCCGAGGAAGCGACTCGCCCACCCCCCAGCCTGGACGTAACGGACGCACCACCCGCACGATCTACACGCATCTCCGGAAGGGGAATGACGCGTAATTACTTTCATTTACTGCCCTAGGCATTTATCTACCAGGCTGGTTATTACCGCACAGGGCAACCTCTTGCCTAAAACCCCCGAGGACAGAATAACAGTAATAAATAGCGACAGGTCTTGTCTGCAGTGCAGTTTAGGGCCCCAGGTCCTAGGCCCTGTCTTCCGCTAGAACTCGGCCACAAGGTTAGAGAAGGTCACCCCTGGAAGCCGAAACTAACAGCTGAAAATAAATCGAGCAACTTCAGGTAGTTTGAAAACAATCCCAGGGTACAATTCACCCTCAGCAGATGGAATAAAGCTGCCGTCCCAAAGCAAAACCACACGATCACACAAAGTCTGTCGGGAAAATGGAAATAAAAGCCACATTCAGAGAACAAGAAATGTCACCTTGGACTTCAACATGAAACAAAGCAAAAAGAACAAAAAAAAGTTCTAACCTCTTTGGGGGGCTGGGCTGGGTTTGGGATATTGGCCGACACCAAACACTTGTTAAATCAACAGGCAGTACTTTCTCTGGGGCTCGAGAGGAAAATTGGGAATTTAATCACAGAAGCAATTTGTGGTTTGAGATGCGGCTTTGAGTTAATAAGCAAATGCGTCTGTGTTCAAATGCAACGTTTGTTAATATGTTTACCGGAGTGATGAGAGTAATTGCCGTCCTTGGGAGCACGAACGTCTGGATTTGCATTTTCAATAATTTATCCAAAAATAACTAGTCTTCTGCAGTAATTGCTGGAGATATAAATGAGCTTCATCGTGATGCTGTGTTTTAAAAACTGAGTTTTTAGAACGTGTTTTATGACACAGATTCCCATTTGTCCTTCACTGGTAAATTCAAACATATATATTTAAAAAAAACTAACAGAGATTAGAGCATCACTGGGATTGAAAACAAGCGTTCCGTCTCCATAGTTACGGCCGCGTCCCAACTGGTCAGCGACTGTCTTAGTTACCCCGAGGGAAGCTGCAGAAGCTGGGACCGGGCTAGTCCTGCGTTTCCTGCACCCGGTGAGCTTTTCCTGGCGGCAGGTCCCTCATGCTCCTCCTAGGAGGCCACAGCTTACGTGGGTTTCACAGGGCCCCCCAATCTTCCTCCTTGGCGGCTATGTATCTATCTAGGTATCTAGGTATCTCTATTTCTACCTACATACCTACCTCTATATGTGTCTATGTATCTATCTAGGTATCTAGGTATCTCTATTTCTACCTACATACCTACCTCTATATGTGTCTATGTATCTATCTAGGTATCTAGGTATCTCTATTTCTACCTACATACCTACCTCTATATGTGTCTATGTATCTATCTAGGTATCTAGGTATCTCTATTTCTACCTACATACCTACCTCTATATGTGTCTATGTATCTATCTAGGTATCTAGGTATCTCTATTTCTACCTACATACCTACCTCTATATGTGTCTATGTATCTATCTAGGTATCTAGGTATCTCTATTTCTACCTACATACCTACCTCTATATGTGTCTATGTATCTATCTAGGTATCTAGGTATCTCTATTTCTACCTACATACCTACCTCTATATGTGTCTATGTATCTATCTAGGTATCTAGGTATCTCTATTTCTACCTACATACCTACCTCTATATGTGTCTATGTATCTATCTAGGTATCTAGGTATCTCTATTTCTACCTACATACCTACCTCTATATGTGTCTATGTATCTATCTAGGTATCTAGGTATCTCTATTTCTACCTACATACCTACCTCTATATGTGTCTATGTATCTATCTAGGTATCTAGGTATCTCTATTTCTACCTACATACCTACCTCTATATGTGTCTATGTATCTATCCATGTATCTATGTATCTCTATTTCTACCTACATACTTACCTCTATATCTGTCTATGTATCTATCTAGGTATCTATGTATCTCTATTTCTACCTACCCACCTACATACCTACCTCTCTATGTGTCTATGTATCTACCTATGTATCTATGTATCTATATTTCTACCTATATACCTACCTCTATATGTGTCTATGTATCTAGGTATCTATTCACCTATCTACTTACCTACCTACCTACATACCTATGTTTGTATATGTCTGTCTGTATGATGTATGTATGTATGTATCATGTATCTATCAACTTATCTACTACCTACCTACCTATCTGCTTAGATTTATACTTATAAAAACATATTCTTTCTCTTCATAAATAAAATTCCCTGTGTCCTCTTCTTATGTCCTTAATGTCATCGCATATTTATAGTACTTTTCTATACCTTTTGAGGGATAGTAAGAAACCTAAGAACAACTAAGCATATTTTCTTCAGGAACATTTGAAACATAATGTAGAAAGCTACCTGGGTGACTGCTAAGGTCAAAACCTTGGGAGAAGGTCGGGCCGCAGATGAAGGTGTTGTGTGAGTAAAGTTATAATTACGAGCCGTAGACTCTATACACCCAGTGTCTCCGTCACAAAACCTATGCAGATAACAGGTAACAGGCCGTCCTCGCTTGTTCCAGGGAAGCCTAATATCTTCACAGCAAACAGAGGTTCCCTGTGCTGTGTTAAGGTCTTCATTTCTAGTGAGGATAAACCTTCTGTTCAAGTGAAATTGTATACTGGTTAGAAGTCTTAACTTTAGAAAACCTTACAGCTACAATTAAAGTGTTGGCTCTCTCTGTCTACTAACCAAGAATTTAAACCATATAATGAAAAAAATAAATTAGATAAATTTAAAAAATAAACAATACCTGCTGGTTCAACAACACCTGCACTTTAAATTCCTTCCACATAAGACGTAAAACCGATAAACCAATTTAAGTCACACGTCCCCAGCCTCAGTTATGAATTTTGTTTACACTTCAACATATAACATCCCAGGCCACATAATAAAATATAAGAAATACTTTGCAAATGGCAGAAACTTTTCACAAACATTTATACACAATATCAATATATTTAAAAGCTTGCTTTCTGGTATTGCAATAAATATCTGGTCCACAAAGAAATAACGACAACAGGCTATGTCTGAATTTTTGACTCAATACTTCTTGCTGTTTGATAAAACTTTACAAACCTAACTAATCTATCCATTTAGAAACACACTCCTGTATGACTAAATCTCTTATCTTGACAATTTTTCAGCTGAACACATTTATCATCAAATTATTCAGAAGGTAAATGCCAGGAAATAAAACTTAACTGACAATAGAGAAACAGCCCACCCACGAGCCAGCCTGTCCCGGAGTCTTTCTCATGTTCACAGCCTAACAGCATCTTCTCCATCTCCGGGAGATGCAAAAGGGGGTGTTTTAAATGGATTAGAACGTCCTATGAAAATGCTGGAAAAATTTATTCCAGAATCAAGTCTTGTTAAGTGGATATGTTCATCTTTCCCCGAGAGGAGAAAATACTTGCAGAAGTCTGGATAATGAATCCAGCTTGTAAAATGCAGTTCCTTGTATTTTATTATTTTTTATTTTTTTAATATATCTTTATTGATTTCAGAGAGAGGAAAGAAGAGGGAGAGAGAGGTAGAAACATCAATGATGAGAGAGTCACTGATCAAGCCCGCAACCAGGCCTGTGCCCTGACCGGGAATCGAACCCCGATCGCCTGGATCCTAGGTCGACGCTCAACCGCTGAGCCACGCCCGGCCGGGCAGGTCCTTGTATTTTAACCATACATAGGGTGTCCCCCCCAAAAGTATACACACTTTGAATGATGATGAAGTCAGTGTTTATTAACATAGGTTCATTTTCAAAATTCAAAAGAATCTACAGAAATGAATAATTTTTTTGCCGATGCCTGTTTTCAAACCGACGACCTTTCTGTTCCAGGCCCTGCTGATAACACGAAGCAATGGAATCGCCAACATCGGGGATCATTTTGTGCGGCATTTGTGCACCTCTAATGCCTTGACTGTCGCCGGTTTTGTACTGAAAACTTTATCTTCCATGTGTCCCCATAAAAAAAAAGTCGAGCGGCACTTTAGGATGAATTTTCTTTGTTCAAAGCTTAGTCTGCCTTCACCCACTATTTCAAATCAGTTAAACCAGAAAAGGAGCGAAAGTTAAGTGAGTGATCAGCTGAGAAAGTGTGTGCACATTTTTGGGGACGCCCTGTATAATACTTTTCGTATTTCTATAGGGAGAGGAAGAGGAAGAGGGGAAAGTTTGTCCCCTCTGCCAGTTCTGACCAGGAACCTGGACTTGTGCTGGGGAGAGTCCACAGTCGGTGCTCAGCAAACAGGCTGCTGGAATCACTGGCCTTGCAAAGCTTCCAGATGCAAAAATACAGAGGTCGGCCCCCTGACCCCGTGCCGACTGGTGGCCGATGGCGGCCGACGTCGACGGCTCCATGGTTTAAATGAACAGCAGATGCTCGGGGATCGACACAGTGAGGGGTTTGTTAATATGGGCTGAAGTCTACTTGCTCTGTGGGTCTTGGGAAAGGTCTGCCAAGCAGACTGATTCTGTAAACAGAGTTCTGGAGACAAACGCTCTCAGTACTAAAAACCGTGTTTTCACAGAGCCTCCGGCACTTTCTCGCAGCCCCTCACAGAAGCAGCATATGCTGTTTATAAATAATTCGCTTCTGCATGAAACTGGGTCCCCTAAGCACCCCTAGGAGTAAAAATGCTAATCTCTGTTATTTAATAAAGTAAACACCACCCCCGGTCCAAGCCAGCCACTGTCGTCCCCCCAGTGCTCATGTATATTTTTATCTTAAGGTGACTGGAGATCAGGTTTTTATTTTCTCTCCTTGTACCTTTCTGTGGTGTTTGAAGTTTTTCAGTGAACAGGTGTCATTCCTATAATCTGGAAAATATAGACTTTCAGAGGAAAAAAAATCTAATAAATATGTATTTCTCTTCCAGAATAAGTGATTGTAGTAAGAATGTATTTTATTCCGTACTTAATGAGCCTTCAAACGCACCCCAGGAAAACGGTAAAGGAAGGTCAGAGGCTGAAGGTTCTCTTCTAGGACGTCCGACGCCTTGGACACAGTTAGTTCCATCCCCACAGAGGATGTGACCCCGGGGTCGGCATGTCCATGCAGGTTTGCACGTTAACTGGACTGCACGTCAGTAAGCTGAGTCCGTTTACACCGCGGAGCACGACGCAGCTGTGGAAAAGGACCCTTTACCCCGTGACGCGGCGTGGAGGAGGCCTGGGGCGTATCATGCTGAGCGGAATAAGCCAGGCAGAGAAAGGCAAGAAACACACGGTCTCACTCATATGTGGAATCTAATAAACAAAATAAACTTTTGAACAAAATAGATCCAGAGACATGGAAGCAGGGAGCAGACTGAGGGGTCTCAGAGGGAAGGTGGGGGCTATACACGTATGTGCATAACCCATGGGCACAGAGAGGAGTGTGTTGAAGGCCTGGGGAGGGGACGAAGTGGGGAGGAGGGTCAATGGGTGGAGAGGGGGACATCTGTAATACTTTCAACAATTGAGATAAATTAAAAAAAAAAAGAAGCCGCTGGGCCCAGCGTTCAGACATCGGGCCTGCTGAGCACCAGGTGCAACCACAGCTCCACAGGTATTTCTTCCCGACGGCGTAAACACACTGACTCAAAAAATTCCCCGTCGCCACCTCCTCCTCTCTCAACGCGAGTGTCAGACTTTGCCCCGTACCTGTAACGAGGTGCAGGGTTGCCTCTCGCTTCACAACTTAAAGTGACTCTTTTGTCCTCGGAGCCGACGGGGACCATGCTGTTGCTGGGCTCACTGACGAACACGGGGCCGTGGAAGAGAAGCTCGCCTGCGGGTGGAGACATCGAGAGGAACCGTGGTAGTGGGAGGTGGTGAAAGCTGCGTTCAGAACCGAAGAGAAGCCGGGGACTCTCGTCTGCCCTGAGAAGCCCCTGGCTGACCATGTGAGCACCGTGGGCCCCGAGATGACACACTGCCCACCGCCCCCATCTCAGAGCAGAAAGGGGGAAGCCAGAGCCCCTGCCACACCCAGCCAGTGCCCACAGCATGACAGGGTCTCCTTGGCAGCCGGATCTGGAGTCTGGATGATGCTCTATAAAGACCTTAAATAATAAATTTTTTAACAAACAAACAAATAATCAAAAAAGCAAAGACACTTGCTGCCCACAGACCAACACCCTCTGCAGGTGCAGCTCTGGTCAAGGGCGTCCTTGACCACTAGCAGCCCGGCCATCCCGTGAGATAGCACAACGCCCAGCGAGAGCCTTATGAAAATAAGCCTGTTCCCATCATGTCTCTGCTCAGACCACACCGAGGCTCCTGAGGGCATTCAGAGTAAAAGCCGGGATATCTTCCATGACTGACAAGGTCCCCCACTTTCTGCAGCACCGATCACCCCTCTACCTCTCGGCTCTGGGCTCCTGCTTCCTCCCCGCAGCTCACCTGCTCCGACCACAGAGCTGCCCTGTCTCTAGAACACCCAGCGCATCACGGACAGAAACCTCCAGGGGCTGCTGGCTCTGCCGGGCTCCTGTCCCTGAACGTCCACAGGGTCACCTCGCTCACCTCCAAGTCTTTGCTCAATGGCCTCCTCTCCGTGAGGCCCAACCTGATGGTCACCCTTAAAACGGGAGCCACCTCCCAACCCCACACTCACACCCTAACCTGCTTTTCATCTCAGGCAGCAACTATGTCTCACTCAAGGTCCTTTCCTACCCCAACGTGATACAATGTAAACCCCATGGGCACAAGGATCTCCCTCCACTTTCTCCACCAGAAACAATGTGTCCTGCGTAACAGATGCTTGTCACCTGTTTGTTTAAGAATAAAGGGAGCCTAGCCTAGCACTTCTGAGAAAAAGCTCACTGGGGTTCATCTCAGGGAAAATTCCTGGCCAGAAATTACGATTTGCCTCAGCTACAGGGAGGAAAGTGCAGAGACAGAACAACAGAAGAAAATGGAAGAGAAAAATGCAGTGAGTAATGGAAAACAAAGCTTACATCCGAGAAGGTAAAACAAAAATTATCAAGCATTTGCTGCATTTACAGAGTTTATAGCTTTGGCTAAACTCTACAAACAAATGGATTTACACAACACATTTCACTTGCCATTTATGATGAGACTATCCCTACATTATGGACAGATTTTTAAATTTAATACATAAAAAATGACCCAATATTGGTTATCAGAATATCACATTAACAAGACAGCCTATTTATTTTTTATTATTGATTTCAGAGAGAGGAAGGAAGAGGGAGAGGTAGAAACATCAATGATGACAGAGTCATTGATCAGTTGCCTCCTGCACGCCCCCTGCTGGGGACTGAGCCTGAAACCCAGGCGTGTGCCCTGACCAGGAATCGAACCGGGGACCTCTTGGTTCTTGGGGCGATGCTCAACCGCTGAAGCAAACAAGCTTACTTTTAAATGGCTTAGCCAATCCATCAGTGAATCGATCAATGGGGAAACTACATCCACTATGTACACAAATAGAAGAAAGACAGTGAAACAGCTCAATCTAAACGGTGCACGTGTGGGTGTTCGTTATACGATTCCTTCAACTTTTTAGGCTGGAGAATTTTTGCAATAAAAAGAAGAAAAGTAAAATAAACAAAAACCTAAGTGTTGTGCACATACGACTTTATTTTTAATAACCCTCCTCTTACTTATCCACTCCTCCAGAAAACAAAGCTACGCGAACAGAAGGAAACACATCGAGCGACCTACAAGCGCTGCTTCTGTCTGGTAGACATCTGGAAAGTGATTCCTTTTTCCTTCTATTTTGTTCTAAACTTCAAATTTTCCAAATTAACATATAAAAAGCCTATGGGTTTTTTTTTTTTTTCTCCTTTAAATAATTTATTTGCTAAAAGGAAAACAGTGTTGTTTTCAAGATAAGATATGAAAATACTGACACCCTTTACAGTTTAGATCCTCTCTCCACAGTCGGGATTCGAACTTTTAGCCCCGTTTGGGAAAAAACAGTCATGAACTAACGTCCTCAAATTATGATTAACTGTTGTTTCATCTGCTGCAGGAGACCTGTGACATAAGACGCTATTGTGCCCTAGTGGGTTTGCTCAGTGGTTAGAGCGTCGGTCTGTGGACTGAGGGTCCCGGGTTCGATCCCGGCCAAGGACAGGTCCCTGGGTTGCAGGCTCGATGCCCTGGCCTGGCCGGGATGCGTGCGGGAGGCAACCAACCAACGTGTGCGTCTCCCTCCCACTCTCTGAAAAGCAGTGGCAAAAATGTCCTCAGGTGATGATTAGAAAAAGCAGCCCTTGTGCTTGATATGGAAACAAAACTGTGCCCCCAAATTAGGGGCTGAAATGAGGCTCACAGTCAGAAGAGAGAATTCAGGTTTTCTTTCTGGAAAAAACAAAATAAAACTGTTTTCTTTGCTACTGGAGGAGTATAGCTCCAACATCCCAAATCACTGAATATCTGACTCACATGTAGCTCTAACCTCAACTTGGAAAATGCAGCGTGTTTTTACCTCCCAGGCAGCCAATGAAAGGCAGCAGGATCAGCCGTTCCCATGACAACTGCATCTTCAGTGGCCCAGCGCCAGGAACTCCGGTCCAGTCTCTGGTGAGCAGGATGCTTTGTCTCCAGGTAAATCCTTAATCTGTAAAACACACGCACGGAGAAGTTAGCCTTGAAAAAATGAGTCGCCTTAAAAAATAGATTTTCTTCCTTTCCTAAAATTGGATGCTACTCAAAATCCCCAAATGAAATGAATCCTTTTGGATGCAAAAGAGAAGACGTGTGAAGTGTCGATACTTAAAAACACTCTGTGTAACTGAGAGCAGATGGAAGTGGCTTCACAAAGTCAGAAAGAAATGTTCAATAAAACAGAAATATTAAATATTAATAAAAACTTTGGCTAGACAATAATTACAGCAAGTAAATGACAACTCTGGCATTCTAACTTTTCTCGTTTTCTCTAATGATGACATTTTGGTAAAACTAAGAGTCCCATGAGCAGACGTCTTGAAGCACCAGCTCTCTGGTCCCTGAGCCCCTGACAAGGGGCATCGATTATAAACGGTAGGACCAAGGCTCACCCCCAGCTTAGTGTTTTCAGAGACGAGGGCAGAGATCTCCCAACCACACAGCTGCCCAAAACAGACAAAAAATGCTCATGGTGGAAACTGCTCAGTCTGAGGGTCTTGCAAGTGAAACAATTTTGTTTTATTTTCTTTAATTTTCACCAAATTAAAGGAGCTGGTTGAGAGGAAATACTTATGTGAACATCCTGCATCATTTTCAGTGGCCAAGGCCACTCGTTACCCTGTGCGGCTAGTGGTCAAGCAGACCGACCGCACACGGAAACCGGGAGGCCGGTTCCAGTCGCTGACCAGCGGGGTCCACACGTCGCGGGAAGACGCACCACGCGGACTGGGCAGTGGCTGTGGACTGGGCTGGACCTGCTGTTGCTGAGCCAGGGACAGAAATCTCAGCTTCACTTGGGATCTGACACACGATGCAATGTGGCCAATCAGAGCCGGGTCCCAAGCGATCATTTCAAAAGTGAAAGTGGGACAACAGCCAAGTGACGTTCTCGAACTAATACGCTAAGCGAGCTGTTCCTGCAGGGATGCTGTTTGTTCACTGCGATCTCGGGCAGGTCGGAGGCGTCGCTGCGGCCGCAATGCCAGGACGGCGCAGCTCTGACTCCGCCCACGAACCTGGAACCGCAGGTGAGTGACAACCCCTGTCCCTGGAACTGGGATCCGAGGCCACTCCTCCCCACCCGCTGTGGCAAAGAGCCCGCGTCTTAGTTTGGGTTCCTGTTCATGCAAACGCCGCGAAATGAATTCAAGTGCAAGGCGTTGACTCGGCAGGTGAAGGACAAGCAGGGTCAGGGAGGTGAAGGGGAGGAAGGCGGCCGATCTGGGTGAGACAGAAAGCTGCCAAACTGTGTGACTCTGGCTTGGTCCAGTCGCCCACGGTTGTCCTGGAGCTGCCCAGTGTTACCATTGTCCAGGGGCAAGGGGCCGGGGAGTCACCGGCCACTCCCGTTAGTCTCAGCTGGCAGGCTGCTCGGGGGCACTCACTGCCCGGCACGTTTGGCCGTCCAGGGGCAGCAGGTGGCCCAGAAGCCACACAGTGACTTTAGGTAAAGACGCCCAGGGTGGCCACTGAAGGGACTAAGGCAGGAGACGCGAGTGGGGCGCGGGCACAGGGAACGGGCCTTGGAAGGGGGGAGCAGTTCTAAGCAGGAGTTGACACGATCGATTTGCAATGGGCGTTGAAATCTGACATATTCTAATGCGATTCAGGCTTAAAAGGGTAAAAAGAAAACACGTCCAGTACCCCCCTCTCACCCTTCCCTTCAAGTTCACAGAATCACAGGCTAGAAAATATTGCCCGGCCGGGCGTGGCTCAGCGGTTGGGCGTCGACCTGGGATCCAGGTGATCGGGGTTCGATTCCCGGTCAGGACACAGGCCCGGGTTGTGGGCTCGATCAATGACTCTCTCATCATTGATGTTTCTATCTCTCTCTCTCCCTCTCCTCTCCTCTCTCTGAAATCAATAAAGATATATTTAAAAAAAAAAAAAAAGAAAGAAAATATTAGGCAAACTGTCTGATATGAGAAATACGTATATTCTAAATTCCCACCTGTGCTCACGTAGGCATGCACTGCATGAGATCTGAAGACAAAAAATAACTCATTCAGGAATGTTATATTTAAAAATTAAATTATGTTGCTCATTTTCATCAGTGCTAAGTAGGGCACTGACTTTATAAATAACGAAGGCAATTAATACAATCAGGACCTGACGTCTCCGAGTTGCCGAGGACTGAGAGAGGGAAGCGTGACAGCTCGTCCCACTTCTGGAAATCACCGAACTAAACAAACTACAAAGGAAGCCCCGGAAGCAGGACAAACACGAACTGAAATGCCACCTGCTCAGAGAGAACAGTCTCGTACTGACGGGAGTGCTCTAAAGCAAAGGAAAAACAGATAACCCTCCGAATTTTCTCTGCTAACGGACAAAGCTTAATATATTCACAGCACGCTTCTCACAGCTGTCTTTAAATAGCTCCCAAATACAGTGCCTATTGACAATTGTATTATTTATTCTTAATATCAGTCAGCTGAGCTCAAAGAAATGTTAGACCTTAGACCCCCAAACCAAAAAAATGCTCTAAATAGTTCCTGGGTTTTGCTCTGAGAGACCATTTGCGGCTTTTGTCCCATGCATTATAAAATGCTGCTAAGATTATCGGTCATGAAATATTGATATGCATTTGTAACATTAAACATGCGTAGACAACGCTGGATGCAGCCTTGGCCCACGCCCAGGGCAGCCTCCTCTGCGGGATGGGGGGCTTGGTTCAGAACTTCCCCTGAGTTTGGCTTCATTTCTATCAGACTGACAGGCACCTAGGGAGAGTCTCCTTTTCAGAGACAAACACTAACTATAGCACCTCCCTTCAGAAGGGTTGCTAAACATGTCCCACACCCCAGAAAGTCACCTCCAACTTCCGTATTTGAGAAAGAAATTCCACTTCTGAATATACACTGTTCCTACGCCCACACGCCGGGGCTCCCTGCTTTGCCAGCGTCTCTCTCAAATCAATGTCTCTCCTCCTTTCTCTAAAAATCAATAAAAAAACATATCCCAGGGTGAGAATTTTAATAAAAAATAACTTGTACTCTTAAAAAAAAAAAAAAGCAGTATAAAAACCAAGAGAGGCAGAATAAATTGCGGTCAAGCATGGTACATACATGTATATGTGTGTACATGTACATGTGGCATAAATATAGATGTACACGCACAGCTGTATAACCTCGGGCAAGTTACTTGTTACCTAGGCCTCTTTTGCCCTCAGTAACTGGTTTAATGTGAGAGGTAGGACTGCGCCTGTGCGCTGGTACTCAGCACCTGACAGTTACCACCACTATTACACAGAAATTAAATATGACTGGCACCCTGGCTGGGGATAAATCAAAGACTTAAATGAAATAGGAACTTGAATGTGGATCTCTCATCTTAAAGAGACATCAGCAGAGGGAACACAACACTCCTCCTGCTTAACTGTGTTTTTAAAAGTTGCTTTTTATCACAATGAATGGAGTGATTTTGACACCTTTAGAAATGCTAATCTGCTTGGAATTCACACCTATTAGGAGCTGCATCTAGGTGTATAAAACATCCACTCCATCAACACAGAAGCAGAAGCGTGAATCTAAATTGAGGCAAACTGTGAGTTTATACTCACAGTACGGATTTCAGGGGAGGAGACCGAGAGGGGAAAAGTATAACATCACCCCCCCCCATACACACACACACACACACAGCAACACATCTCTGACTGTTTTCATGCAAACAAGCAATGGTTCAGATAAACCTCTAAACCACATGGGGGGGGGCGGGGCAAACTGCCTGTCTGGGTGGAGTGACCTGGAACAAGGCAGAGACACAAAACCACAGGGGGGGAATGAGAACAGACAGGTGTGTCCCTTAACTCCACCTCGGGCTGTCCCCTGGGAGCACTGGGAGCCCAGGGAGCCCAGGGAGCCCAGGGAGCCCAGGGAGCCCAGGGAGCCCAGGGAGCCCAGGGCCCCCAGGGCCGCCGGACACTCCAGCTTTTCAGAAGACCCCAGACACGCAGAGTTTGGTATGAGACGTCCCAGTTTTCAAATGTTAGCAAGCAACCCAGTTAAACCACAGCTTCAAAACATGTGTATAGACCAAACAAAGTATGTCTGCAACCCAGACGCCATCCATCTTGAAGCATCTGACCAAATGCATTTTCCTGCTTAAAAAAGTCTGAGCCCTGTAACTGATCACCCTGCAAGCCCCTGGACAAATACACCACAGTGTGTAAGAGAAACACTGCAACATTGTTTAACACCAAGCATTACAAACACTGCAACATTGTTTAACACTAAGTATTACAATCACTGCAACATTGTTTCCAATCAGGAATACAATTTAAATCACTTCTGTAGTGAAGTGTGACCATGGAGGACATCTGTGACGTAGAAAGGAACGCATTTCTCTCAACGAGATGGTTCTCATTCACCCTCTGATGAGCTCAGATCTAAGAACCAAAGCTCTGCAGCCCAAGTTCAGCGGGTCCCAAGGACTGTGCCCAGATGGGAATTCGCTGGGCTCTGTACACAGGCTGCCTCAGCCACAGGAGCCACCCTCGCCCCCAGGAGCCATACAGATACAGACATCTCAACCTGCCCATAGGAAAGGTGAGGAAAGCATTTGTAGGTACTGGCAGGAAAAGTCAAGACCTGAATAAAGATTGGAGGGGTAACGAAGAGGCAAAGAGGCTTCACATCTCAGTTCACAAAACAGCGTCAGTAGGGCCTCATCGCCCCACAGTCATGAACACTCATTTACCGAAACAATGCAACCTGCAGGTCTGCAGGGCCAGGCCCAGCTCTGAAGAGCAGCGGCTTCTCCAGCCCCTTGACTCCACCCAGGGAATAATTTGATGATAAATGTGTGTCTGGAACGGACTCTGGATGCTGGCATGTCCAGGACACAGATCCTACCTCTCCGCACTTCCCCAGAGCCTCCAGATGATGTACCGATACGGGCACATCTGAACACACACACGAGCTTCATTCTGTAGAATCAGACCCCGGTGCCTCC